CAATCTCTTTTAAGCCAATAACAAATTAATTTTAATTGCATACAAAAAAGGAGAAATGGAAAAGAAGAAAATAAAATAAATAGAAAAAAGAAGCAAAAATTTAAAAAAAATTAAAAAGAGAAAAATGGAATTCTTCGCAGAGGTTGGTGACTTCTGCAATCTCCCTTTGGATATACTGTGTTTGAAGTTTGTTGGATCTTGCTCCACGGTTGTCTGACACTGGCCACTTGGTGTGTTGGTTCTGGGCTCCTAGGATGGGACTCCAGCTCTGGCCAATGTCAGAAGCACAGTTGGTGCCTTGCCCTCAGCAACCTGTTGAAGCTACAAGGGATCCACAGTTTGTGTCTAGCCCTGCTATACCTGGCTATATCTGAGAAGAACCAAACTGCTCTTCAAGGCACCCAACCCAGGGGCAGGCCAGCAAACGACCCAGGGCATCCCAGATTCTGCCCCTGTCTGCTTCCGTGGGCCTGCCAGCTGCCTGCTAGGCCTAGTCACTGAGAGAGCCTCTGGCAGAATCCAGAGAATGGAACTTGTGGGTCTCCAGTGAGGGGGAGGTGCCCTTTAGGCTTCAGGGAAGGTGGTGGGTATGGCTGCCCCAGAGTCACTGAGTCTGTCCTGGATTTTGCCCGACTTCGTGCGGTGGAGCCTATATATACTATTCAGGTGGGTGGGGCCTTAGGAGCCCAGATATTGGGTCTGTGGTCAGGAGGGTATTTCTATCCAATCTCCTGTGAGCAGAATATTGTGAGGCGACAGAAATTCCTAAGGATGGGGTGCAAGGAATTCCGAAGGGTGGGGTCATGGGCAATTGCTTTCCTCCAGGCTGACACTGCTCATAGGGGATTGATTGGCCCAGAAAAGATGTCTACTACCGGTATCTGAGATTGACTCAGCGCCGGGATCCTGGCAGCTGTTCCCCCACATGTCTCCCCAGAGTCACAAGCCCCAGATTCTCCTCAGGACGCTGCAGTTCTCACCTCCCTCCCTCTGTTGGAGCCCAGGGTGAGTGGCTGCTAATGCAATTTTGTGCATTGCCCCTTTAATAGGGTGCCTGTGCCTCCAGAGGACTCCACCTCTCCTTGGCGAACAGGAACCCCTTTGTTTTTCATCACTTGATGCTACTATCTCTGTAAACATCTCTTCCTAGTTAATATCCAAACTTTATAAAGAACACATATAATTCAAACAAAAAAACAAATAATCCAATTTAAAAGTGGTCAGAGGACCTGAATAGACGCTTCCACAAAGAGGACATACAGATGGCCCATGGCCTATGAAAAGGTGCTCAACGCCACTAGTCATCAGAGAGATGCAAATTAAAATCACAAAGAGACATCACCTCACACATGTCAGAATGGCCATCATAAACAAACCAAGAAATATAACAAGTGCTGGAGAGGATGTGGAGAAAAGGGAACCCTAGTGCACCATTGGTGGGAATGCAGACTGGTGCAGCCACTGTGGACAACAGTATGGATGTTCCTCAAAAAATTAAAAATGGAACTTCCTTTTGACTCAGTGATTACATTTCTGGTATATATTAAAAAACACTAAAACACAAATTGGAAATAATATGTTCATTGTGATGTTATTTACAATAGCCAAGACATGGAAACAACCCAAGTGTCCAACAATAGACAAGTAGATAAAAAAGCTGTGGTACATTTACACAATGGAATACTACTCGGCCATAAAAAAGAATGAAATCTTACCATTTGTGACAGCATGGATGGACCTAGACGGTATTATACTAAATGAAATAAGCCAGTCAGAGAAAGACAAATACCATATGATTTCACTTATTTATGGAATCTAAATAACAAAATAAATGAACAAACAAAATTGAAACCGAGTCATAGATACAGAGGACAGACTGATGGTTGCCAGAGGTGAGGTGGGTTTGAGGAGCTGGCTGAAAAAGATGAAGGGGTAAAGAAGTACAGATTGGTAGTTACAAAGTAATCATGAGGATATAAAGTACAGCATAGGAAATATAGTCAATAATATTCTAGTATATGCATGGTGGCGGGTGGATACTGGAAATATTGGGGGAAATACTTTGTAAAGTATATGACTGTTTAACCATTATACTGCATACCTGAAAGTAATACAATATAATATTGAGTGTAAACTAATTGAAAAATAAATTTAAAAAGCATTTTAGGTATTTATTTTTAGAGAGAGGGGAAGGGAGGGAGACAGAGAAGGAGAGAAACATCAATTGGTTGCCTCTTGCATGCTTCCCAACCGGGGACTTGGCCCGCAACCCTGGCATGTGCCCTGATTGGGAATCGAACTGGCAAACTTTCAATTTGCAGGCTGGTGCTCAATCTACTGAGCCAAACCAGTCGGGCAGAAAAAAAATGCCCTGGCTGGTGTAGCTCAGTGGATTGAGCACGGGCTGTGAACCAAAGCATCGCAGGTTCAATTCCCAGTCAGGGCACATGCCTGGGTTGCAGTCCATGGCCCCCAGCAACCACACATTGATGTCTCTCTCTCTCTCTATCTCCCTCCCTTCCCTCCCTAAAAATAAATAAATAAATAAAATCTTTTTAAAAAACATTGTCAAGGGATTGGAAAGACAAGTCACAGCTGGGGGGAAATGTTAACAAATCACATATCTGATAAAGAACTTGAATATGAAATATATAAAGAATTATCAAAACCCCCCACCCTCTGGCAACCATCAGTCTGTTTTCTGTATCTATGAATCTGTTTCTGTTTTGTTTTCTTCATTTATATTTGTCTTTAGATTCCACATATAAGTGTCAGAGAAAGACAAATACCATATGAACATACCTGTTTTTAGACATTAGCCGAAAGCTGTTTTGTTAACATAGAGTTTTTGTTTTTGTTTTATGACAACATTTGGTTTGCTTTTATTGTTATTATCATTTGATTGTATCATCTATAAGTTGAGATTCTAATGCATAGTTGCTGTTATCTATAAGTAGTAGTGTTAGATTCCTAGTTCACTAGTTTGTAAAATCTGTGAACCAAAGTATGATATATTTTTTCCTAAAATAAAAATAGGTCACTAATATGAAAAAACACCTAATTTTTTAAAAAGGCAAAATATTTGAATAGACACTTCCAACCACTAAAGAGATAGAAATTGCAAATAAGCACAGGAAAAATATTAAATATAAGTAATCATTAGAGAAATGCATATTAAAAGCACCATGAGTTACTACTGCATATCTATCAGAATGAATAAATTTCTTTAAAAAACCTGACCATACAAAATGTTAGCAAGGATGTAGAAAAACTAGAACTCATGCATCCACTGCTGATGAGAATGTAAATTGATGCAACTACTTTGGAAAACAGTTTGGCAGCTCATTAAAAAGTTAAGTGTGTTAACTACTTATGAACTGATCTTTCCACTTATTGTTATTTAACCAAGGGAAATGAAAGTGTATGTTCATACACAGATTTGTATGCAATATTTATGGTAATGTTAGTTCTAAAACTGTGAATAACCCAAAGGTTCACCAACAGGTGAATGAACAAACAAATGGTGGTATATACGTACAGTGGAGTATTACTCAGCAGTGGTCTAGTAGGTGGAAGAAAAAATGTACTAGGGGTCAGAAGACCGGCATCCCAGTTCTGCCTCCACCAGTGTAGACTTTTATGACATGGGATAAATCACATAACATTTCAGGGCCTCAGTTTCCTCATTTAGGTAACAAGGAAATAATCTTTATCTTGTTTATTTCATATGTTGGTTCTAAAACTCAAATGGGGTAAATATCTGGACTTGTTTGGTAAACCATCATTTGCACGACATTTCTTGTTGGCCTTTAAATTTCTTTTTCCAGTGGAAGCTATGAAAATATATTTTCTGAAATTTGAATTTTTCTTTTAATGTTTTCTCATATTAAAGAAGGCTGTAGCCTGAGAGCTCCTTTAAGTCCTAAGTAATAATTGATACACTTTGACATTCTTAGAACGTTGATTTGTACATAATAAGAGGTAGCAAAAATACCGCAGTCATGACTGTTCCCTTCTCAGCACATCAACAATATTTATGCCCGGTCCTTGAATTCTATTGCTTGGCTTCTGGACTACAATAAGAGATTCGGGCACTAATACATCCAGTCCATCTGTTACCCTGATATGGCCAACTCACATAGTCTTCAAATTGGAGCATACTTTTATTGTGAGAAAACTTCCACATGTAAACTGGGATCAGCAATTGTACAGATTTCTCCTTTCTGTTTGGTTTAGTGACCTTCTTAGAGTGCATATTTTTCAGACTATAAGACACATCCCTCCCCCCACCCCCAAATTTGGGAGGAATAATGGTGGTTAATGCTGCTGTTGAGTTCTGTTTACATTTACATTGGTGAAATATGTTATCTATGTTATTAAATATTTTACCACATTTTTTGCTTCAATTTTTTTTCCATTTCCCCTTCTAAAACCTTGGTGCATCTTATGGTCCAAAAAATCTGGTACCATTTGTGTAAGAACATAAAACAAAACTGTGTGAAGATTTTTCCACCAAAGAAAACATACAAAACTAAGTCAGTCATCTAGTACACAGCATTAGACTACCTAATAGTCTTGATTTGAATCTGTTTGGCTCTAACCTATATTAATGAGTTGCTACATATTAACTGTCTATTGTAGTAATATATTTCTTGGTGTATATATATGTACATACATATGCACATATATGAATGCCAGAAAAAGGGTATTTTTCTCATTGGTCAAAAAAGTGGTTTCTGATTTACCAGTTATACAAACGGGAATGATTCTTTTTTAAAAGTGGTAGAAATAGGAAACAAGTTTATGGATTCGGTTTCTTCTAATAGACTTGTTTCTTCTAGTGATGGTCATCTGTCCTGCTGGTAGCCCTTTAACTTGCTCATGAAATTTCAGAAATTTCTTGGGATCCTGTTGTGCATGTATTTGTTCTTTGCCATTGTGAGGTCATGTTTATTTTAATTTTGTCTCTCTCTCTCTTCTCTCCTCTCTCTCTCTGCCAGCCAGACCATTGTGAAGATTAGATGTCTGGAAAGCTACTGAAGAATGATACACTTTCTTAATCCTCTTCACTACCTTCTGTATTCTAACAAGATTTCACTTTGAGAGAGACGTAGAGTTAACAGTCACTGATTGTGCTGCTTCTTACCCCTTTACAAGGAAGTAGCCTAAATAGCCAAGTTGCAAGGTACTACTGCTTCTTTTAAGGACCATGCGTTTCATAGGTGGCACTTGGAAAGAGAGATAATGACCACCTGTCTCCTTCATCCTGGACACATGAGAAAGTGTGTAGGTGAGTAGTAGCTCCTCCAAGCCATATATTCCACATTGGCACCATTGTTTGAATAACTTTATCTGATACTTCAAAACATTGTGCTTCCTGTTCTGCTTGCCTATAAGATGACAGTCAACTCAAGAAAATAGCTGCTACTCAGTAATAAAGATAAGAAGAACAACTTGGAAGGTCAGGAATATATTTTCTTCCCCTAGGATATTATAAGCCATTTAACATATATTTGTGGAGCATCTACTATATATATGTGAAACTTAGCACAGGGGAGTTAGGGATGAGTAAGATTCATCTCATCCTCAAGTAGCTTTTTTAGCCTTGGCTGGTGTAGTTCAGTGGATTGAGCACCAGCCTGTAAACTAAAGAGTTGCCAGTTCGATTCCCAGTCAGGGCACATGCCTGGGTTGTGGGCCAGGTCCCCAGGTGGGGATGTGGGAGAGGAAATCACACATTGATGTTTCTCTTTCTCTCCCTGTCTTCCTCCCTTCCCCTCTCTAAAAATAAATAAATAAAATCTTTTAAAAAGGAGCTTAGTTTAGCAGAATGAAAGCTATTGAGAACATTCTTCTTAGTCTCCTTCTAGACTTCAGAGACACATTGTAAGCTTTTTCTTGGCTGCCCACAAATGTTGTATTATTGCATCTATAAATCATTCAAACAGTAGAACCAAGAGGGGATGTGTGTAAACAAGGTTGACCCTTTCATGATGATACCTGTGGCAACACGGAGCTACAACTAACAACATATTTGCTGGTATCTCCAGCTCAGATGCCAGTGCCTCATGGGAATATACTTCCCTACAGATGCCAGCTTCAGCAGGAAGCCTAATATTCTGATAATATATACATGGGGTATCAACTCTAGAATAGCATCTCACTCTTGAACTTGTTTCACATCTAATAGAAGGTTATAGGCATATTTGCATAAAGCTACACGCCATTTTCTTGAAATTTATATGTGTCTAAATGAACTGTGAAATGTATCCTCTGATGATTTCAGGTTACATACTATTGCCAGTTTTTCCTGCATTGACTTTTCATTGATTTTGTTCCCCTATCCAGTGTCAATGACTCAATGTCCCAGTCATACAGTAACCAAATTTTTTAAGACATTCTTAATCTTAAAGGCTCTCTTCTATTATACTTCCATACCATCAGTGTTCAGAAGTTCTATTTTTTTTCAATATCCTTGGTACCTCTTCTGGATTGTATCTGGCTCTAAGAAGCAGCACAAAAATCTCATTTACCAGATCTTATCAGATAATTTGGAGTTTGGAAAATACAGTCAGCACATTACTAAAAGTAATGTCCAGGGAATGGGAAAATGCCCAAAGCTAGGGAGTGGGGATAATGATAAGGGTCTTTGCAAAACTTTGTTAAGTCATACTTCGCCCCTGGACCATGATTTAATGTTTTGACTTGTAGGTGGGACACATGTTTTGAATCGCTTCAGAATAGAAAATGGTCATCAGTTATTAGTTAATGGTTTAGCATTTTAAGTGTTCCTAAAAGATCATTCATTGGTTTATTTTGGAGTGATATAGAAGAGAATGGGCAAAATGTTCAAAGCTAGTCTCACTTGTTTTTCTTGTTTCGGTCAACTTTGTAAACTGTATGTGACTTTTTATTTAATTGGACCATGAGGGAACTGAAGGACAGAAAAGTCTCTCAAGGTGGAATGTAGTACATTTCAAGTCATTAGGAAATTAATGTTTATTCGGAATTGTGTTCTTTTAAGGCTATGGTCTTATTTTTTTTTCCATAGAAGATCAACAAGAAGAAATAGTCATAACTAATCTGCAGATGTTACATAGGATTCATCTGGAAACATTCTGCTACTTAATGAGAAGTCTAGATAAAGTAGTTCTTACATTAACTGTTCATCTGTGTTTTTCTTTTTTGAAACAATGTGTGTGCTCGCATGCATGCACACACAATTCAACCACTGTTCCTTTAGACTGAGTCTTTTCCACTATTACGATGTAAGTTCTCTTAGGTCTATGGAAGATTCTGAGTGTCAGTGTATATAGAAGACTAGAACAGTGCTACACCTCAGATTAGCACAATTATTGAAAGGAACTATCAACCATTGAGACACAAATCCCTTGCTGCCCTGACTGTAGTACTGAACTGTAAGTGGGTAACACCTGTTTTAGAGGAAGGGTTGCCTCTGCTCATTCAACTCTATTGGAATTTCCCTTTCCCAAGGCTTAGGATTCTTGGACATTCTGCCTCAACAACAAAGGATAAAAGCCATGATGTGATGGATAAGCTGCACAAGTAAGAAATACAGATGTGGACTGCAGGCCTTCAAAAAATAATCGAGCTTGCTGAAGATCAGTGCCAGAAGTTGGAAATGTTGGAGATGTTAAGAGGTGAGTTCTTTGGTGGTTATTTTTATTCAGGAGTGTGAGTATCTGTATGTGTGTTTGTGTGTGCGTATGTGTGTGAGAGAGAGTAGATTCAGTGAGAAGATTAGCATAATCTTTATAATATAAAAAGCTAGCCTACTTTTATAAGAAAGTTAAGCTTTCAGAAAAGTTGAGCTATCAAGGCAGTTGTAAAAATCTGAAGTACACAGCTAGTAAGATTATCTTCTTAGCTTAAAAATGTGTAGGCTTTCTAGCTGTGGTACATTTATACAATGGAATACTATTCAGCTGTAAAAAAAGAAGGAAACCTTTCCCTTTGGGACAGCATGGATAAACGTGGAGACATTGTGCTAAGTGAAATAAGCCAGTCAGAGAGAGACAAATACCATGTGACTTCACTTATTTGTGGAATGTAACAAAATGAACAAAATAAACTGACAAACAAAATAGAAACACACTCACAGATAGAAAACAGACCGATTGCTGTCAGAGGGGAGGACGGTTGGGGGGCTGGGTGAAAAAGGTGAAGGAATTAAGAAAAAAAACCCTCATAGACGCAGACAACAGTCTGGCGATTGCCAGAGGGAAAGGAGGGTGGGGGAGGTAGGAGAGGGTAAAGGGGAATAAATGGTGATGGAAAGAGACCTGGTTTGGGTGGTGACACACCATACGATATATAGATGGTGTATTATAGAATTGTACACTTGAAACCTATATGATTTTTATTAACCAATGTCAACTCAATACATTTTATAAATTTTTTAAAAATATTGTTGACTCATTCTTTTTTTAAAGATTGTATTTATTTATTTTTAGAGAGTGAAGGGAGGGAGATAGAGACAGAGAGAGAAACACCAATGTGGGGTTGCTGGGGGTCATGGCCTGCAACTCATGCATGTACCCTGACTGGGAATCAAACCTGCGACACTTTGGTTCGCAGCCCTTGCTCAATCCACTGAGCTACACCAGCCAGGGAAAATTTAATAAAAATTTTAAGAAGCACATATAGGCTTTTGTAACAGGAAACCAGCCTAGAAGGGAGTGAGAGAAAAGGAACTAATACCTTTTGAGGTTTACTAATCATGTTCCAAATGCTTCACATTTGTTACTGTCTTTAATCCTCATAACAATACTATGAGGTACGCACTATCATCATTTCTAGTTTATACAGAGAAAACAGTCTTGAATGAGTTCACTTGCCTAAGGTCATGTAACTATTATGTTCAGGGTTGTGTTTTAGATCCAGGTCTCTCATACATCTAATGCTATACTTAGAAAGGACTAAATATCTAAGAGAAAACTATGACTATATCATTTTACGGTTTCCTTATGAAGAATTGTACCTGTACTTCATTTTAGTTTTCTTAGGGAAGTTTTTCACATAGTATATTCAGAAAATGCTTCAGCAACCCCAATATATGCAACTGAAGAAAAATCAACCCTAGAGAGAGAAGAAAACATTCTCAAGCAGTGAAATAGCTGTGGTTCTGACTTTTTTTACTTTTTCTTCTTCATTTCCCCATATATTATGTGAATGAAAACCAAGTTTTCCAGACCATTTATACCCTTTGTGAGTGTAGAAATGAAGGCTTCTGTTTTTGCTATATGTTTAATTAATGCAGCTAAAGCAGCAATGTAAAGTTCTTTGTGATTCATTCTAGACTCTTGTCACGTACTGTTGGACTCTTGATCAGCCTAAGGAATTTACACCTCTTTTACGTTTAGAGTTTAGGATCATTTAGATAGTTTCAAAGTTGGAAATATTAGTCTATTTTTATTAAGTCACAGCCTTAGAACTTATTCTGCATGACATTTTATTAACTTTTGATTACATCTTCACTAATATTTTTCAGAATTCATTAAGTATGGCAAAATGACATGCCACTGTGTTATAGTGGCAAGATCCCTTTATTAGAACTAGAGAGTCTGCATTGAAATGTTAGCTGTGCCTCTTATCTAATACATAAATGTTGATACCTAATCTCTCTAATCTTCAGTTTTTTTCATCTGTAATATGGGGATAATAATCCCTGCCTCATATAGTTGCTGTGAGAATAACTTCAATAATAAATATGAATGTACTTTGTAGACAATAAAATCCTATCACCATGTAAGGGGAAAGGGAATCACATGAACACCAAGGTCTGAGTATTTCTGATGAGTCACTTTTCCTGACTCTGCTACCTATTGCCCCAGGAGCCATGCGGTCATTCGCAAGATCCTGGCAGGAAGGTAAAAATGCGTGGAAGAGCTGCCTCCTACATTATTCTCTCCATGTAAATTGTTCTCTCCTCAAGGAGAATCCTGCTTAACAAGGCATATCAACATTTTGGTTCAGGGCAATCAAAGGGAAGTTGGGGAAAGACAGTAGTTTCATAACAAAACCCAAAAGGACCATTGAGATGACACATTATGGTAGAGCAGGAAAGGCACTGAGCAGGAACAAAGGAGACTGAAGCGTCAATCCTGATTCCCGGACTAATTGCATAACCTAAGGCAAGTCCCTCTTTCCTCTCAGCCTCAGGGTTTCCTTCCATACAGTCATGTGGGATAGACTAGATTACCTTCAAGGTCTATTTCAGCATTGATCATCTGTGATCCTATTTTAAATTACAATAAAAATATTCAAATTGTATATAGATTTTAGGGTGACATTTTATACCCAAAAGGAAAAAGAAAAAATTACAAAAAAATGTGTTCTCATTTGTGTTGTCATAAACATTCACTTACATGAATAGCTTTACTGGGGAATAATTAACATAATTCTTTACTTTTTCAAAGTATTTTAAGATCGAGCATCTCATTTCAGTCTGAAAATAACAGCATTTCATCATTTATCTTACATAATAAATTAAGAAACTGAGGTTGAAAGGTTTGCACAGTCACATAGTTAGTACATGAGAGTCAAAAATCCAACTCTAGTCTGTCTGTCTCTAAGCACAGTGTTTTTCCACTACACCAGGCTGCCTAGGTGATATGATCCAGGCTTAGAATAAGTGCAATTCATCTGCAAAATGAATCTGAAAGAAAATTTACTGTTTTTCCATATGTTAAATGTAAAGAGTTAGGGCAGCCCTGGCTGGTGTGGCTCAGTGGGTTGAGTGCCGGCCTGTGATCCAAAAGGTCACCGGTCTGATTCCTGGTCAGGGCACAAGCCTGGGTTGTGGGCTGGGTCCCTGGGAGACAACAGATCCAAGTATCTATCTCTCTCATATGGATGTTTCTCTCCCTCTCTTTCTCCCTCCCTTTTTCTCTCTGTCTAAAACATAAATAAACTCTTGAAAAAATAAAAGTGTTATAAAATGTGACATGAAAAACAAGAATAGGACAGTATTATATGAGTGGATTGTGTGCATCCATGGCTTTTAGCGAAGCAGCTGTAGAGTGTAGGGGGCAGGGCTCACTTGCTTGCTTCAGAAAAGCTGCAGAAAACTGTCTTGACTGGAAGTGGCCATGGGCTGCAGCACTGCAGCAAGAGAGTGCCTTGCCTGTGCGTGTGCTTAGCTTGAGGCTGGCAGGAGAATGGCATGAGAGCACCTGCCCTCTAGCTGGAGGGGTTTCACAAGCAGCTGCACTCACAGATGTTAGGCAGGGAGCAGGATGATGCTACAACCCATTCACACTCACTGGCCCATCAGGAAGTAGAGCAGTGTTACAGCAGCCCACATCTCTGGCTTTAGCAAAGCAGTGGGATGATGCCGTAACTGCTAGCACCTGCTTGCATTAGCATGTTAGGTAGAAACTGCAGTAATGATGTCTCCATGGAGCATTTGGGTTTTTTTTTCAATTTTTATTTTTTTATTTTAGAGAGAGGGGAAGGGAGGGAGAAAGAGGGAGGGAAACATCGATGTGAGAGAGAAACCCTGATTGGCTGCCTTGTGTACATGCCTCTAGTGGGGACTGAACCTGCAACCCAGGCATGCGCCCTGGAATCAATCCAGTGACCTTTCAGTTTGCAGGACGATGCCCAAACAACTGGGCCACACCTGCTGGGGGCTCCAGGGAGCATTTCAATTGTCTCCCATCCCTCCAGCTAATGATTTTTAGTCTAATAAATGAATCTATTTCCCATATAGCTTGGGCACTTTTCAAACTGCTGGCTCTCCAGGCCAGTGAGACCACACCCAAGCCTTTTAAGAGAGGAGTCTCAGTTTTTTTATAGCACATGGTGTCCTTTAAACGTCATCCCCATTGGTTTTCTAAGGCAGATGTTTTAGGGGCTTGTTTCTCCAGTGCAGCTCACAGGGCTCAGGATTCCAGATGTGAGGTACCAAGCCCTCACTCCTCCAGGAGAAGCCCGTGTGGTGAGATCCCTCTCTATTGTGTGTTGGCGTGCTTGGGGGTGGGATTTTTCTAACAAGACTGTGTCTCTGCCTCTCTTACCTGTCTCAGAGTAATCCCTTTATCTTTTATTGAGGAGAGCAGTTTATCTAGTTTTCAGATCATTTTCAAAGGGAAATTATATATAGCTGTAAATTTGGTGTGTGCATGGGAAGAGGTGAATTCAGAATCTCCCTTCCCTGCCACCTTAGGCTCCACTCTCTCCCAAACAGCCTATTGTATTTTTAATCCTCCCAGTAACTGAGGGTGTCCCAAAGGGGAGCATCTCAGCAGGCATGTATATGCAGGCTGATTGCAAGCCAGACCTTGAGGCATTTGCCTTTAACAAATGCAAGTACATATAGTCCTGTGGGGCTGAAAGTGTAAGCCCCACCGGCTACCAGAGCCAGGCAATCTGGAGGTATCCCCTGGGCAGCAGTCACAAAAATCAGGGCTCCAGATGAGTGTAGAAGCTCCTTTCTGGGAGAGATCAATGAGCTGTAGTCATGCAGAAGGCGAGTGCAAAGGCGCCATCCCCCGGCCTACGTTCCTTGAGAGCACCACTGTGGCCTCTAGATGTGTACCAACCCTGAAGCCTGCCCCTAAGGCTGGTGCTGTGAGGTGCAGCAGAGATAGTGCTCCAAGATGGCATCTGCCCTCCAAAGTTTCAGGAAAGGTTTAAA